CTATACTTCTAAACCTAGTAAGGTGCGTGTAAAGCGAGTGAGTGTATGAAGCAGATAGTACTACCACAGTTAATGGTATTAACTTAAAAGGAAAATAACAAATATAGGTTCTGTGACAAACAGAATAAAATATGCACCTTATTTGTAATTAAAATAAAAGCACGCACTTTCCGCAGACGGCAGAGCTCACAGAATGGCTCTAATTTAGATTGGCAATGATTATTTTTGAGTCTGAAAAAAAAGAGTTCAGTCCTTTAGAAAAAAAATATGCAGTAGATTTGCAGGTTTGTAAAAACACCATTAGGTGGTGCTGTTCAGCTTTTGCCTCTACCTCAACACACTGTAAAACTAGGATGTCACGGCCACTGCAGAGTAGGTGTGATATCATGACATAACTGAAGCTTTACATTTCAAAAGACTAATGCAAGAATTACCACAAACCAGGGGGCAACTCCTTATCCAACAATGAGTGGCTGCATTGCTGTTTAAGCTGCTCTTTGAACTTTAGAAGTTCCTATGTGCCTCAAAGGACATCTTGGATGGACAGAAGAAGAGAAACCACTGGCCAGTTTGTGTGCAACCATCACTGTGCATTTTCTGTGTTAAGACATCCTGTTCTCCATGTAAAGAAACAGATAGTTTACAATAGATGGCACAAATCAGCATATAAATAATCCTCAGAAATCTGTATTTTATTTGCCTTTTTATTGCCCAAAGAAATATTTGATTATGTATAAATATCCTATTCAGACACTTGAAATTCCATAGTTGGGGTCTACATTAAGCTGAGGGACTTTTTCAACTGCAGAAAGATCCTTTCTAGTCACCAGCTTTAGTAAATAAGCTGACCTCCTGACCAAGTGATTATCTAAATTATAGCAGCTAATGGTGATTAGTCCACCACATGGACATGTGGCTGAAATACAGACGCAGGGTCACTTAAGTGGCCCCTGAACAAACAGGAAAGACACTCACAACTGCCGCTTTGTGCAGCAGGTGGTTGCTCTCCTGTGTCCCCTGTAGACATGACATGTAGACATGACACAAGTATTCCCAATATCCAAACATTTTTAAGGCATGAGAGAGTAAAAAAAAGATATAATGGGGATTGGTGGATTTATTCTCCCACTGGGTGTAAGGCCCCCAGCTTCCTGGGTAATTGAAAAATGATTTCACGTGTCAGCTAATGAGTGCAGCATATCTATGCCCCGAGGAGGCCAGTCAATCAATCTCTCATCAGGCTGCCTCAACAGTAATTTGTGTTTGTTGGTGTGTTTGCACATGCCTTTGATGTGCGTATAGGAGATGTTGTTTTTGTGTTGTGTATTAATGTGTTAGATTAGAGCCATTAATTATGAATCAAGGACAGTCTGGTTTCCTCCTCTTCCCTGACTCATTTTGATATCCATTTTCAGCTGCAGGATATTTGCTGAGTGTGTTGAAACTTCAAAAGCCAGCTCTTGCTTGGAATGTGCCATTAAACTGTAAACATCAGGACAGGGCAATAAACCTACCAGCGTGCACGCACACACCTCCACAGTTTTCACAACTACAGACCCACTCTTTTCATGCCGACTGAGGTTCAATGTGAAGTTTCCATGTGACCGTGCCAAAGAAAAGAGGCAATAATGATCCAAAAAGTGTAGAAAATGTAATTTTCTTGGGTGTTTGAGCACAAAGGAATTTCACCCTTGACTCTCATTTACATTCTGTCCTCCTCCATCATACCAGTTCTGGGAAAAACAGAGCAAGCCGCGGTCGAAACATGTCAGCTGCCTTTCACATTTACGGAGGAATGTTGGCCGCGCTTCACAATGTTGTCAGTCAGTACGCCAGATAAGAGCTCTCAGTTCATAAATAAGATTGATGGCACCGCATACCACCAGTTCCTGCTCTGTGTTTTCCCATACAAGCATCTCTGTCAAAAGCATCTGTGCTATCTCACCAGCTCATATCCTCTCTGTCCAAGTCCAGGCTTGCTTAGGTGTTTTTACATGTTCCTCATCCACTCATTAAACCCACTACTGCAGGATATGCCCTGACTTCAGCTGCTCAGCTGCGTTCGAGTTTAATACTAGTTTGTTTGGGGGTATTGGTTAGGATATAGTTATATTGTATTTTAGCTACACATATTTGACATGCACTCTTAAATTCCAAAGTCTTACATTTCCTCATAGTTCATGGGTCTTAAAAAACTTAAACAACTGAAAATAAATAGTTCCACAGATTGTACTTTAGTCTTTCTGTTAAAAATCTTTAGGTGTAAAGTTGAAAGAATGTCTGGTTATTCCCTCAGTTTTTCTTTTATAAGCTTGTAAACCTTTTAAGATTGAGTATTCTTAAAAAGTAACCTGTGCACCGTCAAGCTCTCCGTTAAGGATACAGTTGCATTTTTAAGCCAAGTCAGGCCTGTTTGTCTTAAAGGAAAACATCATCTCATGTTGGAAACTATCTTGGCTATTGCACTTTGATTTTTTTTTAAGCTGATCTGGAGGAATTAATTTCTAAAAATAAGCCATCCAAGGACTACAAACAAAAAACATCTTCTTGTAATGTATCATGGCTTTGTTTAACCCAAACCAATACCGTCCAGCCTTTTTGAATGCTTCCGCAATCCACAATGGCGCTGCTTTATTTTATAAATACAATACTATACAAAAGATTAGTAAGAGAGTACACATTTTAAAGCCATGCAATAGTGGTGTGTAAACACAATGGGAATAAAGAGAGGTGAGCGGAGAAGAAACACACAGTGTATCATGGGAAGTTCCCAGAAGGATAACTAAAGGATGTTTCAGGGTTTTCTCATCCAACAATAACTGTAACAAAGGAAAGCTTTAAGTAAAGACAGTGTCTGTCTTCTGAATCTAAAGTGGGCGCTGCTTCCACAGGAAAACAGCCTGATAGCTAAAGACTCTGCCTCCCATTCTACTTTTGGAAAACTGAGCAACCACAAGCCCGAATGATCTGATCCCACAGCTTCTCACACCCAACACATCCTTTTGTTTTCTTTTCTCTGTGAAGGGTTCGTGGTGCAAATGTAAATAAAGTTGCAGTCACTATTCAGCAAGTGAAACTTTATCAAATAAAAATTGTAATTAATTTTATGTGTAACTTCCTAATTCAGTTACCTTTTTTCCCCACATATTTGATATTTACAGGATGTGTTGTGGAATTGCACTTTTGTGAAACATCTTATAAAACAGATAGTAATTTTGGATTATTCAAAGGTTGCATTAAAGTCAGTGTGGTACAGATTAATGGGGGCTCCAGTGACGAATGTTGCTGGACTGAAACGGAGCAGGCTGTGGTGTTCATGGTCAATTTACAGAGTATATCTAAAGAATCGGACGGTTTGCTTAGGCTGCTGCCCCCGCGACCCGGCCTCGGATAAAGCGGATGAAGATGGATGGATGGATGGATGGATGGATGGATGGACGGACGGTTTCAAAAGGCTATGTTTTTTTAAAGTAATGGACACAAAAATTTTAAAATACATTGCCAAATATAAAGCTTTACATACAAAATGAACAATGTTCACATGTGCTCAGTGTGCTGTCTGGAAGCATAGCATGTGTCAATGTGAAACTTTTTGATATCAATGTGTTTAAGGTTTATGATGCTGATTAGATCAACTCATCAACCAACCCTTATAAAGCTTGTGTAAAGGTAGAATACCTTTACACAAGCTTTATAAGGGTTGCCATGACTGCCATTCGAGACCAAAGTGGGATAATGTGGAACTGTGAGGTGTTTAAGATATGATGGGCACTGGCAATTTAAGAGTTTAAGAATACTATTAGTGAAGTAAACTGCAAAACTAAATGATTTTGGGGGGTTTAACTATCCTTCAACTTTAAATGGGCAACTTGTGGACTTGTTTTTCAAAGCTGGCAGCAAAGTTGCTCCAACCCTCTCTGTGAACTCAAAACAGTCCTTTAAGGCTATCTAATGTTTCTTATTGTAATCTCACACTGACTCAGGGATGCTGAGATCAGGGCTCTGTGTGGGTCATGCCATTTGTTACACGATTCCTTGCTCTTCTCATCTCTGAAGATAGCGCTGGCTTTGGCTGTGTGCATCAAGCTGCAGAATGAATTCAGGACCAAAGAGATGCTTCTGTCATTGTATTTCCCGATGAAGGCAGATATAAAAGAAAGAACCTTGAGCTCTCATGTGCACGAAACCTTTGAACAGTATTCTGTATGTGAAAGCGAAGTAGGAACCACTCAGGATCACCAGGTGAATAAAGCAGGCATCTACTAGAACTGTGGTGATGTGTTTTAGTTTTAACAAACCAAACCATGCAGGGTGACCGCTGAAACATATGAAAGGACACTGATGACACCATAACATTCATTGTCCTTGTCGCTGTCACTCTCATTGTTCTGGCGCACTGTGAAAACCCAATGTCTGAGCTCCCGCCGCCCCAAACTGGTACAAGTCGATACTTGTGGCTCGTTTGAGCGGGTCTGTGTGTGTTCACATATGTGCGTGACCTATTTGGAAATAGACACCATATAACAGACCTCTCCTTTCTCTCATCTTCATGTCCAGTGGCCTGTCCTGAAATAGCTCATAAACACTTCTGGGCGTGAGGTATAGCTGAGGCATTGAAAGCGTGCAGGAATGTGATGCACGTTAGCAAAGGTGCACAAGAATTTTCAAATGACATTAGCAGCTAATCTGGGAGAAACCTGCCTTTGTCATGTATAAGGTTACGCGTCCTAATGAGAATGTAATCTATGCCAAGCATGCTCTCCGTGGCAAGAGGAGAACAAGAGAGCTGGCCACCCGAGAAAGTTGAACCCAAAAGAATGCAGCTCTGGTATTCATTAATGAAGAGCACTCTTCTCTGCGATGGAACGACGGTGCAGGAATGAGGAGATGGCGTAACAACGGAGAGGAGACTCATCAGAAAACAGAAAAGCGCTAACGGAGCTACCTCGGTATTTATCGTTCAGCCAATAAATGAAATGATAAACAAGTCAGACAGCTGGTAAATTATATTATATTTTATTGCTTTATGAAATGTTGCATCAATTCAACTGTATTAAACCTTCATATTGTTTCGAGTTCACAGAAATGTCTGTTTGAAGTCAACACTCGGTTGGTTGTGTACAGCTTGACAAGACCGTGATTGTCGGCACATAACTTACAACAAACATACATACATAAAACTCTTTGGCGTCCCGCTCAAAGCACTATCGTATCTAAAATAACAAAAATCTGTAGAAAATATATAATAACAATAATAATAATAATAATTAACCTGTTTGTTAGTTCAAAGCTCACAGTAAACAAAAAGAAAAACAACAACACAGCATTTTCAACTTTTGCCCCTAAATGGCGACCAAACCAGCTGGATCACCACATCAGGGCAAACACTCTCAAACTGTAACCACACATGCAAACATACTATGAGAAAAAAAAAAGATAAAGAGCATGAGAAACAAAGAGAAGATGAAACACCGTGATGCTGCATCCTCCCAAAATTGCAAGCTTGCAACACCAGGTCTGTGTCAGTATATGCATTTATATATTATACAGCTCCCTGTTCATGCACCTCTGAAGCTCTGTAGAACCAGCTACCCGAGACTCAAGACGTGCGAAGAGCAGGAGCGCTAAAATCAGCAGTGTTATCAGCTTAAATTAATTAATAACGGGGAGTCTTACGTAAAGATAATATCTATCTGATCGGAATTAAATTCACTTTTTTTTGTTCATTTGTTTTAAACTTCAAGAGAAGGGGTGGATCATAAAGATAACCTCTTACTAAATGTTTATCTAGAAGAGCTTGAGGCTTAAGTTAATATTTGGGGAATGTGGAAACCAGATAAGATAAATATGTAGCTTTTTAATTCATTGGTTTGGGAAGAGAAATAATAGGGATTATACAGGGTGGGAAAGCAGCATTTATATTTATATATATTTATTTATAAATATTTTGGCATACACTCTCTGAGAACACGTTGCCATGTTAGAATCCAAAATACTGTCCAAGTACCTCAGAAGATTCATCTTTTCTCACTCCACCAGGCAGACTGCCTGCAGCTGTCCAGCCGAGTGAGAGAAAGTGAGTCGGAGCACAGCTCTGTCTCTAAAATGTGAAAACAGTCCTTTTTTTTCCTCCTTTCTTTTGGTAACATTCCTGCCTCCAGTATTTAGTTCCAGTCTTGCACCTCTTCACAGATACTCAGAAATAGCTTCTTTTTTCTTTTCCGCATCCCCATTCAAAATCTCCCTCTCAGTTCTTTAAATGAAGATTTCCACTGCCTCCGAATCCAGCTCATCCAGGCCCCTGAAGGGGTTTAATAGCAACTTCTTAGGCGCTGCCTTGACTGGAGAAAAAGAAAACAAACAAAGAAGACATGGATAATTATTTAAGTGTTTTAAGGCTAAGACCAGCAGAAAGAAAAGTCCTTGATGCATTTCAGTTAGCTGTGGCTAAAGGTTAACAGACGTTTTCCACAGTCAAACAGGCCACTCTACTGAGCGTGCTCAGTCAACAAAACTACATTATTTCCTAACTGTGCACATTCCACAGGGCCCACATTATGAACCATGGCCTACACACATGGTATCTGACTGGTTGGTTATTCCACAGCATGGTTAATCAATATGCACTTCATGAAGTCGAGGCCAAAAATGCCTTTTATGTGTACAGCTGTACTGGGGTATAACTTTGTGCAGGATTGCTGCTTTTTTTGGCTTACTGACCCATCGTTCATACATGATAAGGTGCTTACCACTGTTGAGCTTAGTTGTACTGGCTGCCTCTTTGGTTTTGGTTCCCTCCGCCTGCCTTTCTAGCGTCCCAGGTTCAGACTGAGGAGAGAGCTGACGACTGGGCAAAGTCTGATCATCTGAAAGACTCTTACCTACGAGAAAGCGTCACAGAAGATGTCAGCATGTGCACCTTTTTATTTCAAACCTTTCAGCGGTAGACAAAAATGTATGTCTTTGGATCAAAAAATGGCAAATTTGTGCTCCTCACCTCGTGTCTTAGTGTTGCTCTTTGTGGGGCTGATGGAGGGAGTGGAGGAGGCAGATCGGAGGGTTGCCCCCGCTGCATTCAGGAGGTTTTCAGGTGGACTTTGCTCGTCCTTTCGACCCTGGTCCTGGTGCAGCCGCTGGTTGAGGATTTTGATCACGGCATCTTTTTCCAAAATCTGAGCATAAAGGGCACGGATCCTGATGCAGAGCAGAAAAAACATGTCAGAAAGCTGGTAACCAAACAGTGGATGAAAAAAAAGAGGCAAATCCTGAAGGCTTGTTTGAAATCAAAAAGGGGGTTGATAAATAGTAGGTATGCACCTGTTCTCCATCTCCTGGTTCCTGTGGTCGGCGACTGGCAAGTCCTCGTTGAAGCTGTTGTTGGAGGAGTGGCAGGGCGAGTGGTTAATGATTGTGGTGTCCCTGGAACAGAAAAAGAACATTTCCTGGGTTTAATTCAAGCTTGAATGAGCTAAACTGAGCATTTGTACACATGAATTCCCAGCATTCATCAGAAGGAGAATGAGACACCAAGCTACATCCGTCTTTACCTCTGGGCAGCGGCAGTGGCAGCCACCTCCATGGCAAACTGCCTCATGGTGCTCTCTTCCAGATACTTCTGCTCCCAGCGCACCACGTCGGCTTCAAGGGCAAGGATTCGCTCCTCACGCTCCCGCAGGCGCTCTTGGAGTGAGTTCATGGTCATTCCAGGGGGCTGTGACTGCCTCTGTGATAAAGAGATAAAGTATTTGAGATAGATCCTAAAAAACAAACAAAAAACTGCCGTCATATATGACCAAGAACAAAGGCTCTACCTGTTGTGCCCTCAGACTCCTCAGCTCCTGCTCTAGTCGTGTCCTCAGCCTCATCTCCAGGCTCTCCCTCTTCTCACAGGTGGACTGGAGCTGAGCCAGCGCGCTCTGAAGCCTCTCCACCTTTTCTACATACGCCCTCTTCCTCCTCAGCTCCTCCTCGAGCTGGCGACCTCGTCCTCGAGCCGCCTCCAGGGCCTCCTCGAGTCGTTTGGCCCTGAGGTTCTGCTCCTCAGCTGCGGCTCGCAGCCGCTGCAGCTCCCTCTCCATGCGCTCCCGCTCGACATTCTGCTCCTCATCTGAATCAAAAGAAAAAGTAAACACGGTCAGATGAAGAGCATTACAGGATTAGAGTCAAAGTGTGTTGGACAGAATGGAAGTGAAAGTTTTTTTTCCAAACTTTTCTCAAGTCTTTTCTGAAAAAGTACGGAAAGCTAATCCGCAATTATCCCTCCTAAAACCGAATAAGTATCCGAGTTTTTACATGGTGGCCAGTATTCTTCATTTAGTGAAGCACTCCCGGAATGCTGAGAGCAGGAAGGGGGAGAAATCTGCCCTATCCCTTTGACCCACATAGCACAGAGAATTCCTCATCAAGGCCATGCAAACACCACAACCCCGCTTGAAAATCAAACTCACACACAGGTGGTGGTGAAGGAGGTGGTGGTGGTGGTGGGCGGACTTCATTTCTACCACTTGCACTGCTGCTCTGTGATTTAGAAGGGCTTCATTTCCTTTTGCAAGGAGGTGCATGGATTGAATTCCCTATTATGAAGCCTTCTTACCAAATAAGCTGAAGTTATGTAAGTGAAATTCCTGCATGAAACGATGCCCTTAGCAACAGAAGGGGGCCCATGGTACGCTACAATCCAGTCCAATCAAGCATGCCAATTCTAGAGGATGAAAAGGAGGAGGAGTGGAGAGGAAACTAGCCCAACGAAACGACATACTTACTTTGTTCAAGCAGCTTTGCCATGATGTTCTGGTTATGGTCGGCTGCCTTGACTTCTTTTGCAACATGGGTCCTAGCATTTTCCAGGTTTTCTGTGATGCAGCAAAGTGTAATCAATTAGAGTAATTTAAAAAAAACCTTGGACCTGCTGAAGCTGGTGTCACTGAATACTGCAGTTTGGTGTCAGTACCTCTAAGGTCTCTGTTGAAATCCTGCAGCCTCCTGGCTTCAGCCACAAGCCTCCTCCTCAGTGTCTGTTCCAAGTTCTCTCTCTTATTGCTGGCCTCCCTCAGTGTCTCATAGGCCTCTGAAATACGCTGGATCTCCTGCTCCAACTGCAATGGAAGGACGAGGGGGAGGGGGAAGATATAGGAGGGTTGGAAAAGAGGAAGAAAGGAGAAGAGAAGGAATTTTGGGTTAACCTACTTGACATGCTGAAGAGGAGCTGGAATGTTGATTCATGCTGTTATAGCACACAGATACATATATGGGTTCACATGAATGTATGTGAATAAAGCACACTCTGTGTGTGTGTGAACATGTGTGTGGTGTAATACTGAGAAGGAATTTAAGCCCGCACCACTCCCTTTGCGACTGATTTATATCTACATTCCTGAGGGCTGATAGCTTCAGTTCCAGGTGTGTGAGCACACAGGAGCATGCACACACACACACACACACACACACACACACACAGAACTGGGAAGGCTGCCAGCGGAGGGAAGGTGTGCATGCCTGTGCCTGGCTTGCGGAAAACGGCAAAGAGACACCCACCATTACGGCAGTCACACAGGCATGTTTACCCAGGGCTGCGGCCTGACGGAGAAAACTTTCCAACCCTGGCAATTATCATTCTTTAAGGTTGAGACAAGGCAAGGCCCATGTGACATAACTCCAGCAGAGAGCAAAAGGGATTTTTTTAAAGCATAAATTGGCTGAGATATCAAATGTCACCGAAATGGTTTCTAGCACGTTGAACGAGTAAATATCTCGTTTTAGGAGCCGGTTTGGTCTGACACTCAGTCACAAAAAGCAAAAACATGGCTGTAAACGTAGCACTGTTTTAAAAGGGAGAACATGGAAAAAGTGGTGCTGGGTACGAAAACAAAAAAGACCTTTCACTTTTTAAGGGCAGCCCGCCACTTGACTGCTGTAGACCCCCACCCAAGCACTCATTAAAAGTGTGGGGGTCGAAACCCAACTGGCTGCTGTGTGACAAGCCCCAGATTAGACTGAAAATCTATGGTCTCCGCACGCGCACACACATACACGCACACTTTTTGACCTCCACTAGGTTAGCTACACAATGAAAGGAGTGTGTAAACACAGTAGCAGGCTGTGACCTCTGTTTGTGTCTCTGTGGTGTGGAAGGAAGCAGCTGCTGATCTCATCTGTCTGCCCTGATGAGGGAGTGTGCCTGGGGTTGGATATCAGGGAAGCAACTGTTAACTGGGCTTGTGTTTCATAGACAGGTGGCTCAGATGGAGGGTGTTGTCTGGATGCTCTCCAAATTCCTTTGGGATTTTCATGACTTAATGGTGTGGTAATCCTTTCCTTTGAGTTGAATGTATTTAAAAATTAAAGATATTGAGAGAAACCTTTTTTTTAAGTACTTGTAAAATATTCTAGTTTATCTCAATTGTGGACCAGTGAGAGATGAAGCTTTTCTGTTCTTCTCACCTTTTGAATACGGCCGCTCTTCTCCCTGTGAGCCTCCAGTTCTTGTCTCAGCCTCTCGTTCTCCATCAGCAGCAGCTCCACCTGGTTGGGCTCCTCCAAGCCAGCAGGTGGCAGGCTGTTGAATGTGCCGTAGCAGGGGGGTTCTGCTGGCTGACCAGACTGGACATACCTAAGAGATACCCGCATACATTAGAGGACACTCTAGCTGAATCACACTTATACCGTAATAGAATATAAATATGAGAAAGAGCTTTTTTATATAGCATGACATCTAACGTATCACTGTGTATGAATTTATACACAGGCAGGCCAGCCGGCTCCAGTAAAGAACCTAAAAACCTGTATGTGGAACGTACTCAAACTATCCTAGGCAACGCAAGTATGCAAAACTCTCCTTTAGCAGCATGCCAAACATTACAAATACCTACAGGGCTGGACTTGTTCTCCGGTGCGGATTTCAAAGAGGAAATATGAATAAGTATTCAGACTGCGGTGTGACTCACACTAAAAGTATGTGTTTACGCATGTGAAACACAATGGTGCCACTGGGCGGGCTCTTGTGAGAAAATTTACACCGGAGTGCATGATGTAATGTTAAAGTTGCTTAAACTCCATCTGGTACCTGTGCTGCTGAGGCTGCACTGGCTCCTGGACCTGGTGAGGGATAAATCCTTGGCCCTGGATGGGGGCTGAGTACTCTGGGGGTGGGTTGCATTTGTCCATGTTTGGCCCCAGGCCCTGGTAGCATTGTGGGCTGTAGTAAGGAAGCTCAGGGTAGCTGTGAGAGGTCATCTTTATGGCTTCTGCTTTAGCCGCTGCGTCTTTCCTCTCCAGAGATATCTGCATGTGATGCTCGCTGAGAGACCGCACATGGCTGCACTTTAGCGCCATCAGATCAGCCTCTTCGTGGAAGACCCCTTCATGCAGAAGCTTTCCCTCATGGAGCTGCCAAGCCATGTACTGAGACTGAGCCTTGGCTTGCTCATAGGTTGGCAGCTTCTCCCCATGCAGCTGGTAGCCACTTTCTGAGTGATGGTAGTCTCCCTGGTGCTCCTGGCCCTGCGGTTCCTGCCTCGCAGAGAGCTGAGGGTAGAGAGGATCCTCCTGGGTGAGACTCTCCAAAGAAGATTGTGGGCTACTGCTCATGTCGCCCCCACTGCTGGGTCCACTGTTGCTTCCACTGCCTCCCCGCAGGGCCTGCTGCTGGATGGCTAATAAGGTACGGGTATCTGTGGGGTTTCCGTAGCGGAGCTGCTCCTGGATGAGCCGATGCAGGACTTTGCCAGACGACTCCTCGGTGGACAACATACTGCTTGTGAACTTAGTGATTATCTCTTTGAATCAGTTGACTTTTTCCTCAGTGAAAATATAAAAAAAAAAAAAACAGCTGTGAACCTGGAACAAAGGGGCGAGAGAGTAAAGTAGGATCAGTCTGAGGTGGCAGTGAGGTCAGACGGTAATAAAGCTGAGGCAGGCTTTCACAATAACAGCAACACTTTAAACACAAAGTTATTAAATGTGTTTATTTATTAGAAAACAGTGTGACAATGAGTCTATGTTACCAACAGCGACAAAGTGGAGATGTGGACATATTTTATCACTGCAGGCAAAAAGTGCATGCGCCAAAACTTCCACTCTCACGGTGGAGCAAAAGCGCACAAAACCACCACGTAAAACACTCCACAGCTCGACTTTCCTCTTTAATACATTGTAAGTAACTTTAAATTAAAACACAATTCCCAAAGATTCAACGAGAAGTTTTACTGTAGCGACTCTGGCGCTCAGGAGAAAACAGAAAGAAAGGGGGGAAAAGACGCTCTTCTTACCAGCTCACGCTCTCATCATAACCCAACGTTATCCTCGACTTCGAAGTAAAAATAGTTCCACTATTGGCATCAGCTTTTTTTTTTTTAAGTTAAACGTGTCTCATTTCCCCCCTTGAACGTGTTGCCGCGATCCTCTCTTGCTGTGAAATGATTGTGGAGAGAGCAAGCGGCGATAATAAGTAACCGAGGAGGGACTGAGGTCGGAATGCCAGGAATGCAAAACGCGAGGTCCCTCGGGGATCAAAAGCGTAAAAACCACACGGGAGGAGGGAGGAGGGAAGCTGCAGTGCGCTTTATTATTACCAACGAGGAAAGGAAGAGAAGTATAGGAAAGGAATGAGCATTTTGTTTCACTAAACTGTGAGTTACTTGATAAACAGCAGCAGTTATGAAGTGATAAACTCCTTCAGTGATGCAAAAGTATGCGAATCATTCACTTTAGTTCAATTAAAAACATACTGCACTGCATGTACTGCACCATTAACAGCATGCATAATTAACGCACATACTCAGAAGGCCACCTGAACGTATAGAAATCTATAATTATAATAATTTTATGTTTCTTGTAATCGTTGGTGATGCATGTGCAACTCTGCTTCTGAAAACAGCTGGGATGGTCTATTTAAAATAGTAAAAAGAAATCATTTGAATTGTTTAAATTGAGACTTGTTATTGCTTTTTATGTTAAATTTGTTGTCAAGCTGAATTTGATGCCAGTAGCACTTCAGAGTATGCATGTATGTTTGCCACTTTATTATATCACCTAATTATTTAACAGCACCTTTTAAGCATTCAGGAATTCCACAGAGCTCTAGTTTTGAAAATGAACTGTAACCACTCTGACTTGATTACATTTTTATTTTTTTCACTTCATAATATGCCAGATGTTCTCAATGGGTGTCAGACCCAGATTCCTGTCAGGCCAGGCTGTTTTATTAGGGAGCCATGTTGGAAAACATCCTCAGTGTCATTTGGCATTGTTTTGCTGAAATAAGCAAGGCCTGAAGACATCATCTGAGTGGAAGCACAAAAGCTATATGAACTTCATGAGTTACACCTTGATAGCATGTGATCGAACCCTTGCTTGCGGTGAGAGCTGCTTTAATTCTACGTGGCACAGATTCAACAAGGTGCTGGAAACATTCCTGAGATATTTTGGTCCATGTTGATGCACATTTGATGTGAATCTCGGGTTCCAATGAATCCCAAACGATTGAGATCTACTGATTGTGGAGGCCATTTGAGTACAGTGAAGTCACTGTCATGTTCAAGAAACACGTTTGCGATGATTTGAGCTTTGTGACATGGTGCACTGTGCTGCTGGAAGAGGTCATCAGTAGATGGGCACCCAGTGTGGTCTTCTGCTGCTGTAGCCCATCTACTTTAAGGTTTGCTGTGCTGTGAGTTCAGAGATGCTCTTCTACATATCTTGGTTGTAAGCTAATGATTGTTTGAATCACTGTTTTACCTGTTGGGTCAACAAGGCATTTTCACGCAGAGACGTGCTGCTCACTGGATATGTTCTCTTTTTCAGACCATTCCATGTAAACCTTAGAGATGGTTGTGGGGGGAAATCCCAGTAAATCACTAGTTCCTGAAATACTCAGACCAGCCAACAGCCATGCCAAGCTCAAAGTTTTTATTTAAGCGAGACACCGTGGTGGTGGTGCAGTGGTTACCATTGTTGCTGCAATCACTGCACAAAGGTCCTGGGTTCTGATCCAGCCTGGGCCTTTCTGTGTGATGTTTGCATGTGAGCTTACTCTGTATACTGCACAGTTCAAAGATGTGCATAAGGTTAGGTTAACTGGCAACTATAGGTGTCTGTCTCTATGTGTTAGGTCTGTGACAGATTGGTAACCTGTCCATGATAAGCACCACTTTTCTCGCTGTGACAGCCCCAACCTTGAACCTGAGCTGGATAGTCAGAAGGAAATGGATGGCTGTTCAGTTCTAACATCTGAAACTTTGTGAGTTTTCTATGTTAAATTAAATTTTGGTTTCAGATGTGTTTATCTGCTTTTGACACGCGTCCCAACTGAAAAATAAATGTAGTGGTGGGGGGAGGAAGTGCTTCATCAATCTTAAATAAAAAATGCTCATCGAGGGGTCATTTGGAGGTTTGCTGTGTAAACACTGTGCATTTGCAAAAAAAAAAAGAAAAAATAGCAGTTAATTTTTATTAATTCCTTTGCATAATTCTTGTTGGAAATTTGTAAAAGGCCTGCTGTCAAAATAAAGCTTTACCTTGAGTTTTTATTGTTAACACACTGACTTTCCTACTTCTACTTTAACTTTTTACTAGACCAAAGCGTAGCTTATTGCAACTGCTTCACATGAATAATAACTAGAGCTATTTATGAAATCTTTGTGTAAAAATGAAATAGTCTAAAACATTGCACTGTGAAATACAATGAAATCTCCTAAAATTGGTCTCCTGAAAACCTTTTATCTCTGGGCTGTAGAAATCTAGGCTCCTGGTATTCACTACAGGCCACCATGGGCTGACAATTTCCTAATGTTGTAAACCTGCTCAACATTTGGCAATAAAACCCTTTCTGATTCTGATTCTGATAAAAACTCTGCTGGTGCACATGTTTTGAAGCTGTTACATGCCTTAAATGTGTGCGTGTGCCTGTGTGGTACATGTGTGGGACAGCTGTCCCCTGGAATCCCGAGTCTTTGTAGCCCCACTACTACAAACATAATGACTCGTTGTACCCAACATCGTGCAAGCAAAAGCCCGGAGGATGCCATGCAGTGGCACAGCTTTACAGTCCAAATCTGAACATTACCACTAAGACAGGCCTGAGAAAGCTGGGATAGACCTGACCACGATACAAATTTAAAATGTGTCTGTTACAGGCCTGGAGCATCCATGTTTGTTTCCTTAAAGGGATACGCTTTCCGCCTCGAGGGAGAAAGCAAATCTTTATGGCAGGCTTTATTTCTGTCAGAGCCAAAAGACAAGCCTGAGCTACTATTTATTACCTGCTAGGGCCTAACGGCTGCTATATTGAGGACTTTAGACATGACTCTGGCTTTTATTATGGGGCCTTTAAATAGCAGACATTTTAGTCATAACAGGCGATTCATATCTCCAAGCAGCAGGCGCAGAGTGCAACAGATGCTATCCTGCCTCTCTATAGTCCATATTTTCCCACCAAAATCCCCATCAAAAAGAAAAAACAATTGCAAACTGCGAGTGAATTGATGAAGAAATCTGTGCAATCATAGCACAACAGTCATGAGTAATTTACTGTCGACCAGTGTGTGGCCACTGACCTCAGGCAAATGATCTAATTAGACCTAAAAATCTATAGGTTGGATGAGTTTCTATTGATGGTCTTTGTCCTACCTCCTTAATTAAACACACACATTGCCTCATGCTGTGGACATGAGCATACATATTGGTAAAGAAGAAAAAAGAAAGAACACGCAGACATTGTGTCTCTGTGGGCGGCACTCACATGGAGCCAACTGGTCAGCAAAGTGCAACATGTTAGCATTTCCACCTTCAGATCCACACTGTGAAGCAGCATAGTCTCCACCTATTTAAAAGCCCGCTCAAGTCATTTAACACCACCTCACTACTTCCTCTGCTCCCTCCCTGTGTGTCAGCATGTGTGTGTCTGCTGGTGGACAACGCCTCTGGTCATTTTGTCCCCTATTGTAGCACACTTCCTGTGAACTTGCTGAGGAATGTGAGGCTGACCCTTTGACAATTATGGATGTTTTCAAAAAGTCATTACAGGAGATGAACATCTAAAGTGGCCTGCCACAAAAATTCCTCAGTGTCTGTCTGCCTGTAGGCGCTGAAACCCCGAACCAGACGAAACTTATATTTCATGAGTTATTCCTTGTTTGTGAAAAGAAGAGTGGCACTGAAGACTATCCGAGAACACCCAGTAAAATGAAACACAATTGTGTTGTTGCTATTTACAGTAAACTCATATTCCTCTTGTGGTTTTCGTGGAAACATGAGCACAAATGAGGCAACAGTGAGACTAGTCAAACTACCAGTTGCACAAATGAAACAGTCTGAGTCTAAATTTACTCATCTTAGGCATGTGTTAAAGAGAGTATAAAAATCTCTTTGTGAAAAGGAGAGCAGCAGGAAGGCAAACCTCTGTGGGGGAGTCCTTAAAGGTACACACCTTTATTTTTGCTGGATAATCTAATTGCTTCATGAGCTTTTCTAAAAAGAGATAAATAAAATAAATAAATTCAAAGATTTAAACAATGTTAAAGTAAAATAAACACTGAAGAAATGATGGAAAAGCAGATCTTATAACAGAACAGTATATAGTAGTGTATTTACTTATTATAGTAACAATTTGACGCTATTTAACAGACAATTCAACCTTCAATTCATTATTTATACAGTATTAAGTCACAACAATTGCCTCCATGTTTTTTATAACATAAGGTAAAGACCCTACAGTAAAGAAACTACAACAATCACACAATTTCTATGAGCAAGAACAATGGGAAGGGAAAAACCTCCCTTTTAACAGGAAAAAGCTTTTGACAGCGGCAGGCACAGGGAGAGGCAGCCATCTACCATGACAGGTTTGGGGTGAAGAGAAAGATGGGACCAAATTAAAACTATGATGGGACAGACAGAGATAGTTTAATAATGGCTAATGATTAAATACAGTAGTGGTGTATAAACACAGAGTGAAAATTGATCAGTGAAGAAGAAACATTCAGTGGATCAAGAAACAACTTAGCATTACGAATGCATTAGACATTCAGCATCACTGATGAATGAAAGCAGTCCTACATGTTTGCTTCATATGCACATATAAAGGGCACATCCTATTTAAATCTAACTCCAAGATTCCTCAGAGTGTTACTCAAGGCCAAGGTAATGCCATCTAAAGTAGATATCTGTTTAGACACAATGTTTTTAAGATTTTTAGGAACAAGTACAATAACTTCAGTTTTATCTGAATTTGGAAGCATGAACCTAAAGGTCATCTAGGTCTTTATGGCTTAATTCATTTCTGCAGTTTAGCTAATTTATTTGTATCATCTGACTTTAGGGATAAACTTGGGTATCATCTGCATAGAAATGTAAATTTATGCAATGTTTTCTAATAGTGTTGCCTAAGAGAGGCATGTGTATTGAAACTGTGAAACTCAATGAGTAAGTTTTGCGTGTGAATTTTCATTTACATAAACAAATTGGAGTCTACTAAATAGATATGGTTTAAA